GATTCAACCACTTTGTCATCATGTGAAATATGTTTACCGTTGTCGGCAGAAAAGACGGCGGAATTAAAGATAAGATTTGACAAGTACCTTTTCACCCACCTAAAAGCTACGAGTGACCGTACGATACTCATTCGTGGGGTTATTTGTCTTTCTAGGTGGCAACATACTGTAAAGACTGTTCGGATTTTCCTCCCGAACATACATTCGGCTGATGACCTTCCTTTTGGTACTGCCGGATTAGGGGTAACTCTGTACGACATTGAGAAATTACTGATCACTTATTCTGGGATACCCTCACCTCCCCCTTTGACCAGAGCTCTTTTTATCGTATCCACGGATCTTTCTGCCAGGCCATTCGACTGAGGATGGTGCGGAGGAGATTGTTGATGGGATATGCCATTTTCACTGCAAAAACTAAAGCATGACATAAACTGAGAACTGTTGTCGGTCACGAAGATCTCCGGAACCCCGAAACAAGCAAACACTCCTGACCATTTTCTTATTGTGCACTCTGATGTCGTTTTCGGCATGTCGTATACTTCCGGCCATTTTGTGAAAGCATAGACAACAACTAAATAATTTCTGCTTTGCATTGGCCCGGCGAAACCAGCGTGTATTCTTTGCCAAGGCCCATCCGGTTTTGGCCACAGTTGTAGTTCAGCTTCGCAGCCTCTAGACCGGACCAATAACTGCGACATTGTTGTTCTATATCATGGTTCATTGACGGCTAGTATACATAGCTGTGAGCTAGTGATTTCATCCTCAGGTGCCTCGGGTGCCCGCTGTGGAACTACTTAATGACTTGCTGTCGAAGATTTTTGGGGATAACGATGCGGTGGCCAAACATAATGCACAAATCGACAAATGTCAAAGAATCTCGTCTACGAAAATATCGCAAGAGCTCTCCATTTAGTCTAGATGAATGCCATTTGTTGAGTATGCAGCGGCGAACAACCTTCAACGTACTGTTCTTCTCAATAACTTCCTTAGTGGCTTCGAATGTGACCAGGAGTCTGGAAACTGCGTCTGACAATACTTTGTGAACCTAAGCCTCAACATCTATGGCAGCTACAAGCGCCTCCTCTTGTTTTGCATGCGAACCAATCAATCTTGAGAGGGCATCTACCTGTCCAAAATCCGTTGTCGGTTGATACTTTATCTTGAAACCATAGCCCAGCAGTGTAGTTGCCCATTGCTGTAGACGGTTTGCTGTATATACAGGGATACCTTTTTGGATCCAAAAACTGTCAGCAACGGTTTATGGTCTGTTTGTAAGGTGAACTGTCTGCCAAACAGCATGTTGTGGAACTTTTTTTACAGCAAATATAATGGAGAAGGCTTCTTTCTCTATCTGACTGTAGTTCCTTTCAGTCACAGTCGGCGATCTTGCAGCGTGGGCGATCGCCTTCTCAGATCCGTCAGGGTAGGTATGTGAAATTACTGCTCCGATTCCGTAGTTTGACGCATCTGCTGGGACTATAATTGAAAGATCTGATCATAGTGTGTAAGTAGAAGGTTTGATGATAGGAGCTGCTTTAGTTTTAGGAATGCTTCCTGGCATTTGGTTGACCAGAAACATTTGGTATCGTTTTTCAGTAAGCAATTAAGAGGAACACGAAGGCGATGCAGATCTGGAAGAAAAACGCCATAATGACCAAACATTCCCAAGAAAGAACGTAAAGCTGATACATCCGTCGGTGGAGGTATGGACTTGATAGCGTCGACGTTTTCAGGGTCAGGTTTTCTTCCGTTCTTATCGATTATAAATCCCAAGTAGCGGACTTGCTCCATGAAAAAATCACATTTTTCGGCACACAGTCTGAACCCATAATCTGCTATGCGTCTGAGAACCGTATCCACCTTATTCTCTAAATCAACACAGTCTGTACCCATGATCAATATATCATCGAGATAGGCCGCGGCACCAGGAATGTCTTGTAACATAGTATCCACAACTTGTTGGAAGATTGAAGGAGCGGTCTTTACTCCAAGAGGAAGTCTGTTATACCGGAACAATCCTTTGTGAGTGTTTATTGTCAAGTAATGCTTACACTCATCCGCTACCGGAATCTGTAGATAAGCGTCTGATAGGTCTAATTTCGCAAATTACTTACCCCCATTCAATTTCGCAAATAAATCCTCTGGTACCGGCAACGGGTATTGATGGGCTTCAAGTGCTTCATTTAATCCAGTCGAATAATCTGCACATAACCGGATACTTCCATTCGGCTTTTTGACAATCACTATTGGTGCTGCCCAATCAGAAACGTTTACTGGCTCTATTATTCCATTTCTTTGCAGACACTCTAATTCTTGTTCAACGATAGGCAGCGCTGCATAGGGTACCGGACGTTTTGGTCTGAAGACGGGGGTGACTCCCGGTTTAAGAATCAGTAGTATTTTTGCCATTTTGCACTCCCCAGCTCTTCCGTAAACACTTGACTATGTCTTTCCAACACAACACCCTTCAGATCCTTTTCCAGTGGTTTATTGGTTCTCATGGCGCTGCATATGTGGTTAATGGAGTGATTTGCTAATTGTAGTGTTTCGATCAGGTCTAGACCCAGCAAATCTAGTGCTGGGTTCTCTGCGAGATATAGCGTTGCATCCGTCCTCGTGTTTCCTTTGAAACTGTACAACCAACCTCTCCAACAATATTTAATTTCCCTTCAGATGCACTATGAAATAACTGGATTGTTGGAAGCACCTGTGGTTTTCCGATAAGATTCTATGTTCTTCGACTAATGAGTGTGATGTCGGAAGCAGTGTCGAGCTTCAGGCGTGCGCGCTTTTTATTTATATCTAAGTTTACATACTTTCGTTGACGGTAAATTTGTGATCGATTATGTGATGCCAATATTTTGTTAGTTAGAGCAGTATATCTGTGTTTTCTTGGATTAGGGTTTCAAAGAATGTCGTTTATGGGTTCTCTTCCTGCAGCTCCTTCTGAGCCTTCTACAGCTTCCTCGAGTTCACCCGTGGTCCGTCGTCACATTGGCAGAATCTTGTCAGTTTCGTGAAGTTGGAACTGTTTATTAATCAAGCGAAAGCAAGTGTAATGTTCGTACAATACATGATCCAAAACTATATCCAGAGTTTGCACATACAATAGGAAGTTTATATTCATACTGTTGCAAATAATTACCAATACAATATGATGAATTCTGGATTATTTTTCGCGTAACCGGGTAATGGGACTGTCAGCGATGGGACTCCGTCAGGAAAAGCACATCCATATGTTACATACATGTTGCAACATAAGTATTTCATGAATAACTTGCAATCACTCACTTCTATTTATCGTTCGATGAAGAAATGAGTTAGCACCAAACAGCTAGTATATATCCTTTACTATGTTAATAATCATAGGTATATGTAATAAGCGTCTAAGTTCTACTGACTTTTGGAGTGAAAAAATGTTTTTCAAACTCATCTTATTAGCATACTTGCAGAAGTGAAGATGAAGAAAGGGTTGTTAGAATGAGAATAACAAACAACTAAGAACAAATAATAGATGCAGATTCTGATCTTTGACGTTAGAGCACAGATAAAAGTCCTTGGTCAACGTTTTTTTTCCGATAATCAAGCAAATTGATGTCGAAACTACAGTCTTACTCGTGTATACCGAAACAAAATATAAGCGAAATAAGCTTACTGATGGTGGAAAATAACTGCTGTGTGATTTCTAAGTATTTCTGTAATACCTACTTTCACCTTGTAATTAAATATACCAAGTCCAGGGTTGCATTATTTAGTGAACGGTCTGGACGACCAATCAGATATACGTCAACCTGGTAAACTTTAAACATGAACGTGAACCGAAATCCCTGTTTCACTGCCACACAGTAACCCGAGACTGCACAGTGTATTCTCCCTACTGTAACGCCGTGAGAACAAGCCGGTAGCCATGTAAATGAATTTATCTGAGACCTCTACATAGAATTATGTCTGCGGTGGTTATAGAGACAAAGAATTAAACCTCCACGAATTAAATATTTGATTTGTGCATACAAAATATGACCGCACGGCAACATGTAGTCGTTGAAACGCTCAAAAGCACACAGTCCATGTGGAGTATCAACAACATACATAAAGCCCTTTTCGTAGCAGCGGATGTATTCTCCTGCCATTACTTCGTCTTTCATTCGCTTAACTTATTCATGATTTACTGCCGCAATTTTAGCTGCGAAAGTTGTGAGCACATTTAAGAGTTTGAAGTGACCTGAGAACCCCAAGTTTTGGAAAACTTCCCGAACTCCCAATTTCGGGGAGAATTTGACCCGTTTTGGGAAGCCTCCATGGGGGTTTCGTGCCATTTCCCTAAAGTTTACTATAGCGGCTTCCCCGAAATTTCCCCAAAATGGGTCAAATTTTCCCCGAATTGGGAGCTCGGGCGGGATTACTGAACTACAGCAAATAATTTGTACAGTTAATCCTTACCTCCCTGAAAAATGCTATGTAGACATAGAACAAACACGGAATTATGTCGGCACGACTGTGCGTAGACTGTATCACGGAAGTTTTAGTCGCTGCCGAATCCATAACATGTATCGTAAGTACCACACATGGTTTCTTTGAAGTATTTGAGTAGACTTACGACGTCTTCACGTTGTTCTTTCATACAAAGAGCACACATGACGCTGTGCTCTTGCCCAAGACTATTATTAACTGCCAGCTTGAGTAGTGGAAAACTTTAAGATGAGGTTATTATGTGTTACTTAACCAACTTTGTTGGACCGGTAAGTCGCAGTACTGCGTTTACGTCCATAAGTATAAACATATCTGATAAATATACCTTACGGTTGGGCCATCTTTGTTCTTTCTGCATACTGAAATGATATACTTAGTGTGCGTATACTATACCACGAATTATCAATCACAGAAGTCATATTACCTTATGTACTCCTTTCTGCTGAAAGACCTACCTTGGCAGGTCTCAAAATTGTCCCGATGACATAGTATCATTGAACATTCGTCCTATATCATGCATCATTAAGATGGCATCACTTACGTTACTTGAAGGATGGACGTTACCTTATACAGTGTGGCTGAACTCAAATCAAATTTAAAACTCTTGAGTTGACCGCTTCTGTAAAATCTTACGAATTGTCGAGGTGACGCATCAATCGTTTTACGACACTTTGACCTTCAAGTGCTCATCACGTCCTTCATTTGATGAAACCACTCGACATGGTTCGTCGGTTATTTCATTGTTTTATATAGATGCACATTACTGGGTTAATTCGATTTTCTTTGAAAATTGTTCACATTTATCTGCAGATTTTGGTACAGGTTGGTTAATCCAGGGAAAGTTTTCCAACCCAACTTCCTAAATCTTTAATGTTTGCTAAATGTCTGACTGATTCGTATATTTTCTCTCAGAATTTAGGTTCTTTTCAACCAGATTGTAACTCTGGGGCTATTCTTGTGAGTATATCAGGATAAATGCTATGTGATGGGTTAACCTGTACAAACGAGTCTTAAAGCTTATCATTAGAATTTATTTTATTTTTATTTCAACACATAGATAATGGTACAAAGAGGCACCAAATACATATGCGCCACACAAATCTCATTTGATATGTGTGAGGGCTGTGATACTGCCAGGGTGCCCAGACCGAAGCAGGTGGTTTTCTTAGGGGGCCACACCCCGAGCCTTCGACCTGAAGGTCTGATCCACAAGGCAGTGGAGCATCGTAAGGAGATGCAATCCCATGGTAGCCGGTGACCAACGATTGGTTCATACGCCATTTGTTCCCTCAGGATCCTGGAGCCCATGTACACCTTTGGTTTGGAATCCGGTTAAAGTGCCGGACATTCGCCTTTCGTCCTTTTATTTTCGTAAACAACGCCTCCGCCATGAGAAGGCGGTGAATAGGACTTCCCTGGCAGAGGCTGTATACGTGTGGCCGTGTGAGAGCATTTCGCGAAAGAGTTGACTCTCTCCACTCTCGTCTGTTCCAGAGCATTTGAGGGCTTTGCAACTATAGTACAGCAATGAATAGTTATGAGTTTAAACTAGTATATACATATTCTTGTTTTCAATTACGCTTTCTTATTTTGTCTCTATCGTGAAAGTACTCTTGCGTCGCGATGTCATGCAGTTTCGCAAGTTCTTTTTCACTGACGGATAGGAATAAGAACCGAGTTGTTAATGCTCCTGAAAGTTTTGAAAACAAAGTTCTTACTTCGTATGCACTCGTAAAACCTGCACTTCTAAAGTTCTCTTTTAGATGAAGTGTGAAGTAGAGTAAAATGACTGGCAGCTTCAGGTGTCATGACGTATGACAATAAATAGCGCATAGACATTTTAGGGTTATCGTTTATTAACCAAGTCAATGTGGCCATCTGCAGTGAATTTTGTTGACGTACAAATTTGCTCCTTATGTCTTGCTGCTGAAGACATGAGTCCAACGTTTTCCGTTCCTCTTCGGATGACAAAGGGGACTGCAAACTTAATAGTCGGAAATCAAATTGTCGCGGATGTTCACGCCCACCAGACTTCGATATTAGCTGCACAATGTTGGTACTCAAGTCTGAAACAACAGTACATGATACAGTCTATCAAATCTTAAGCACTTAGCTCAGTTGGGCATCTCACTTGCTCGGCCGGTAACGCACTTCTCACACGCCTAAACTTGCATGTTCAGGGTTACGTACCCAACTGTGTCGAACTAGTTTATTAAGGTATATGTAGTAGACACGCATACTTGGCAATTGGTGAGACAACGGTGTTTACTAGTATGGGTTGTGGAGACTATTAAGTTTTAATTGAGATCTTGAACCAATTGATGTTAGACCATCACAATTGAAAACCTGGAAGCACTGGACGGCCGTTTCGTCCTATTGTGGGACTCCTCAGCAGTGCGCATCCACGATCCCGCGAGCGGGATTCGAACCCAGGGCCTTCGGTCTCGCGCGCGAACGCTTAACCAACTGGACCACTGAGCCGGCATCCAATGGTGATAGTTTCTAACATCAACCAATCCACGAAATTGCGCGACCCACTTCCATTGTCTTTAAGTAGTGGGTCGCGCAATTTCGTGGATTGGTTGATGTTAGAAACTATCACCATTGGATGCCGGCTCAGTGGTCCAGTTGGTTAAGCGTTCGCGCGCGAGACCGAAGGCCCTGGGTTCGAATCCCGCTCGCGGGATCGTGGATGCGCACTGCTGAGGAGTCCCACAATAGGACGAAACGGCCGTCCAGTGCTTCCAGGTTTTCAATTGTGATGGTCTAACATCAATTGGTTCAAGATCTCAATTAAAACTTAATAGTCTCCACAACCCCATACTAGTAATCAACATGTGGTCACTAGTGACTAGCTTCGTGAGGGAATTCTCGGAGTTCTAGTGAGAAGCCGTGACCAGTGGAGCTAATCCTTGTCGGGTAGAGACAGTTATCTACTTAAAGACAATAGAAGTGGGTCGCGCAATTTCGTGGATTGGTTGATGTTAGAAACTATCACCATTGGATGCCGGCTCAGTGGTCCAGTTGGTTAAGCGTTCGCGCGCGAGACCGAAGGCCCTGGGTTCGAATCCCGCTCGCGGGATCGTGGATGCGCACTGCTGAGGAGTCCCACAATAGGACGAAACGGCCGTCCAGTGCTTCCAGGTTTTCAATTGTGATGGTCTAACATCAATTGGTTCAAGATCACAACGGTGTTTAGCAACCGAAATTTAGAATATTGGATGTGGGTGTTTCTAGCCTGCATCTCGGCCACATCCATGTCAATGAAATTGTGCAGAAACCATTCGTTCAGTTTCAATGCACCTCTACGAAATGTTAGATTACTGTACTGACCTCTTCAGCTTCTCATTGTTTAGTGTCAGTGTTTACGTCTGTTTTATTGTTGACACGGTAAACATCCATTTTGTTGAACGAAGCCAACAACTCCTTTGCGGTCTGGGAACTATCTATAGGTAACCTATGTGTGCTCATGACTAACTACAGAGCACATCAATATTCCTGTCACTAAAATGAAAGGGTTCTTCGAAGTAATCCCGTGGGTCTGTAAGTGATCTAAATGTCATTAGTCCATTTTCCCCTACATCAGTTGCAATGCCAGGCTTTCGTGTACTAGAATAACATCTGGCTTAAATGAAGTTATTTTTGTATTCTTAAGCATAATTACCTGTTTCCCTGAGTGTGCCTTAACGATTGTTTGTATAGTATAGTATATAGTCAATATGCTAGCTTGAAGCCTATCACAGAAAGATATCTACGCGTAACGCTGAGCTGCTTGCTTGGCTGCATCATACCCTCCATGTACTGATTTCTTAATCTGTCTCATATAAGACTCGAATGGGAAGGCGAAAAAGAATCTAAAGGTCCATGTGAACGAACATCCACAGGAAGGTGCTTCAACAAATACACATTATAAGTTTTCAGGCCCATAACACCGTTCATATTCCCTAAGAAAGTTCAGTAAACCAATTCCGATAGAATCCGTAACGCTGTTATGTAGTCTTGGATGCGCTAACAAATAAGTCGCTAATACTAAACGCTTGAAATTAAGGTACAAGGTTTGTGGTAAACTTTGTTGAAGAATTATGCCGCCTAAGTACGGAAGGAACAGTAGACACTGTCGACTTCCATACTGAAACGAAGTCTAATGTCCGACATTTACATTGAAAGTCAGAAGGAGCACTTGCTACGCAACCTGATGTTAACTTGCATCCCTAATTACGTACTTGTTTATGTTTCTTAGTCTTTTGTGAGAAAATTCTATCTATTTATTGATTATTTTTTCATCTCAACCACAAATCCTCATTACCTCCTCCTGACAGTCGAAAAAGCAGGCATTATGGTGCATTTCCCTATTATTTCCCCTTTATCTTCCAACGCATTTTCCCTTTTGTTCTTTATTTCACCTTTATGGGTTGCTTCGGGTGTACTTCCAGGTTTATGCGTTTAAGGAGGCTCGTCAAACGAGGTGTTTTGAATGTACGTAACTGCATATCTGTAGTTATCATATTGAGATAGGGATTGATAAATGAAGGGAACCATAGTTTATGAGTCTTTTTATCATTAATCTAAACGGTGTAGAAAGGCATGAGATTCTTAAATGTGTTTCATATAACAATCTTAAAGTATTGTCAATGGTATTAAATGACATTGGCTTCAACATTTGCAGTAGCGGGGATAAATCCATTCTTTGCAAGTCTTGAGAATACCATTATCTTATGTAGGGTATCCGCTTATTGATAATGGAGTTTGATTTTAAAATCACTAGGTTACAGGATCGACTCTTGGTACGTTTTAGGATTAGGTATATCCCTCATACAAGACGTTTTACTCAAAATCGAGAACGCGAGTCCTTACTAGGTTGTTATTCTTGGAAGTCACTCATTTCTTTTTCTCTCGACGCCTACGTGGTTCTTCGTTACTTTTTCTTTTTGTTTACATCTCATATCTTGGATCGTAAGCTTGAATGACGTTTGACAACTTGGACAGATACACATTCGTACTAGATTTCACGTTATTTGTCTACCTTGTTCGTACTTACTCCTTGGCTTTATTGTCAAGAGATTTAATCACTTAAATCACGAATGCGTAATTTCGATATCCGTAGGTTACTAGTATTTGATCATAGGTGTCTTCGAAATATTGCTCGTATATCGTGGGACCATCGAGTAAGTAATGCAGTTGTTAGGAAACGGGTACTAGGTAAGGATGGCAAATCAATTGATGACGTAGTGAAACTTCATCAGTTGAGATGGCTGGGACACGTGTTACGTATGCCCAACGACCGACTGCCTCGACGTGCGATGTTCAGTGGTATAGGAGTAGGTTGTAAGAAAGTTAAGGGCGGCCAGGACAAAACATGGCACAAGTCCATGAAGTCACTGACAAGTGGACTGAGTCATGTTGGTAGGTGTAGACTACCTGGTTGGGGACCGCGAGATGATAGCAACCGATGGTTAGAGACCCTGAATGACATGGCTCAAAATCGTTTGCAATGGCGCAGGTGCATCCACTCTTTGTGTTCTCCCCAATTTTGATCTCCTTATTCCTCCTTGTCTCTTTTTTTTTTCTTCCCGAATTTATTTCACTGTATACTCTTTAAGTAACATCTCCAAACACTAATCTTCCCAATTACTGCTTATACTCTTATTACCTCTACCACTACGGGATTTGAATCGACCACTGCATCTCTGTGCTAATGTGGTGTGGCAACTCGAACTGATGTACGTACATACGAAGTTCTACGTTGTTACTGACTGAATTTCGATCTTTAATCAATTTTCACTGGAATTAATGTTAGGTGGTTAGATATTACCAATAAGCAACCTTAAACCAATATTCTCGTAGGATGTATGAACTTAGAATGATACGCACGCCAGACCCTACATTGTGAGGGTAAATTCTCGTCTGTCATGAGTTTTAACAGTAGGACGGCTGTGTTCTGTGGGAGAGTATACGGCTGCAAAAAACAAAGTTCCCATTATTCTTCTCACATTTTGTCTACAAGTGAAATGCACAAAAGAAACACAAAGTATTTTTTAAGAAACCAAATTCTGTAAGTTCGTTTGGTTTACTACTTGTTTGCAAATGTCTAGAAGTACATCGTTTTTGTTCTGCATTATTTTCTCATGATATTTACCTCGTAAAATGTACTAAAAACCTTGTTTTACTAATCCAATAAATTTTATACTCCCAATGCACAAGAATTCCATGTTGTAAAGTGAAATCTATTCTTAATATTTCAGATATCTATGAAAAGGACGGCACGTGATGAGGTAGACTGTAAATCTAGGACTCGTAGACATTCAAATAAATCAAAGTCAACTGATTGTCCTTCCACAAAGGCGTCAGGAATTAATATCGGTTTAGACAAGTCAAATCAAACGTGTAGCGTTAAGAAGGAATATTCCAAGAATGAAAAGCTTGGTCGTAAATCAAAAAAGAGGGTAAGTATTTTTGGTATAGCTAATGCTTTTGTTCAGATCTTACAAAAATCTATTTCTGAGACCAAAGGTAAAAATCAAATCTTTGTTTAAAGTAATGCTTATAATTAAATTTTGACGTGATATATTTTCGTTGTAGATTGAGTGACATTTTCACTTCAGAGTTATCCTATAAGTGTATTCGACAAGTGCTTTGCCAATAAATATTCTATTTGGCATCAAATAGTTTTATGTAACTTAGCATATGCAGTAAAATAAACTCGAAATTATATTCTGAACCTGAGATCTGTTAATAATACCTTATTACTTTCATAATAATACAGCCGCCGTAGTATTCTAAGCTTAACAAGTGACAAATAGGGATGTTTTAATATGTATTAACAAAAAATCTTAAAGGTAGTGTACCGTATAACCTTCGTTAATACATTAAAGGAGAGACGAGTTTTTTAAAAAACTTATTGAAAGTTATTAAAGGAAGAAACGTTGACTATAAGCAAGAGTACGGATTAATTTTAAAACTGCATAAGATTGTAATGAGTCAAACCTCTTAAGTAAGCCTCCACAAAGCTTCCTGAATTGTAAAGTTTCTTTTTTTTCTGTGGATGCTACAGCCTACAACCTATGGCGAAGGCGAGATATCTGTCTTATTTATTTATTTGGACACATGAATATTGGTACAAGAGAGCGCCAATATATATGCGCCACACAAAACAATGAAAATTCGAGAGGAATACAAAGAAAGAAAAAAAAGCTAAGGAGCGCAACAAAAAAAGAGAGAACAATAACGAAGAGATTGGTGTAAGGTAATGTGCTAGTAATCAGGGAACGCAAAGGTACAATCAGAAGAAATCTTTCAGGTAAGGGAGACACAACCACTTTTTATGAAGAAAGTAAAAGAAGGTTACAGCAGGATCGCCACTGGCTTCTATTCTGAGCCATATCTGATAACGTCTCTAGCCACTGTGTAGCACCATCTCTCAGACCCCAACCAGGGAGTCGTGAAGGACCAACACAAGCCAGTCCTTTGCAGCTTTCTTTCATGCCACGACACCATGTCATGCACTGACCACCTCTCCGCTTCTTCCAACCAGTCCCAGAGTCGGCAAATAATGCACGACGTGGAATTCTCTGGGACGACATTCGGAGAACATGTCCAAGCCACCGAAGTCGGTGTTTCAAGATGGTGACACCAATTGAATTATCATCTCTGTGCCCGAACACACGATGCCGAACCTCTGCATTACTGACATGGTGTTGCCACTGAATGTCAGCAATCCTTCGGAGACAGCGATGATCGAACACAGAGAGTCGTCTAACGTCCTCAACTCGGAGAGGCCAGGTTTCACAAGCATAGAGCAAAACTGCTCTCACCGACGCGTTGTAGATCCGACCTTTTACAGCCAGACTAACATCACGAAGGCGCCAAAGATGGCCCAGATTGGCATAAGCCGCTCTGGCTTTCACTATACGTGCATTGATCTCATCACTCACACCCCCACCAGCACTTATGCAGCTACCCAGATACACGAACTTCTCGACTACGTCTATCTGCTCACCATCCAGGGTGAGTACAGGATTGGAATCCTGCCAGTCTTGTAGAAGTACTTTGCACTTCGAAGGTGCAAAGCACATACCATACCTACGGACACTGATTGCCAACTGATTAAGTGCGGATTGCATGCCTTGGGCATTATCGCACAGTAAGACAATATCGTCCGCATACTCAAGGTCGAGAAGTCTTTCTCCAGGCAACAGATCCACACCACCATTACTTACATTCATCAGAGCTGTTTCCAGAATGTCATCGATGGCAAAGTTGAAGAGGAATGGTGAGATTGGGCAACCCTGCCTAACCCCACTGCTCGAATGGAACAATGGAGAGAGGTGGTTGTATGCCCTCACTCTGCCTGAGGTGTTTTTTTATAGGGCTTTTAGGATGTTAATAAACTTCTCAGGCACACCCTTCTTCAATAGACAATCCCAGAGAACAGTCCTGTCCAACGAATCGAAGGCAGCCCTGATGTCAAGAAACACTACGATTGTTGGCCTTTGATAAGTATGGCGGTGTTCTAACATTTGGCGGAGGGTGAAGATATGATCAATACATCCTCGACCAGAACGAAACCCAGCCTGCTCCTCGCGAGTCAATCTTTCTCGGGTTTTGAACAACCTACGAAGTATGACGGAAGCCAATAGCTTGGACGCAATCGGAAGTAGACTTATCCCCCGATAGTTGTTACAGGAACGACGTGAACCCTTTTTAAAGATAGGGACAACTATCGACTCATTCCATGACGTTGGTACACTCTCTAGTTCCCAAACCTTTGTAAACAACGTCGTCAATTCCTTAGTCAAAAAGTCACCACCATCTTTAAAAAGAGCCGGAAACCCAGTGCTTAAAAGCGGGACGTTTCGCAAACCCACAACTGACTGTTCCCGCCATTTTCATGGCGTCATGCAATTGCAACCAATGCTCATCTATACTTTTCGGTGGAGTGGTAGCTAGCCTAGAGGCTAGCTCGGTTCGATACTTACTTGCAACAGAAGTTGCAACCAGCTTGCTAATATCCATCCGTTGATGGCGGTCACTTCGTTGTCCACTGAAAAGTAAGGTAAGATTGGCACAGACCAAGGCATGGTCAGAGTCCAGATAGGTACTCCAAAAGGAGCGGGAGTCTTTTACACAACCACGCCAGCGGTAGCTGATCGCGATGTGATCAATCTGAGTCCAGGCTTGGGATGCAGAGGGAGGACGCCAGGTGGCACATCGGCGATGACTGTGCCGAAAGTTAGTGCTAGCCAGAAACAGGCTGTGGTCTGTGCACAGTTGCAGTAGACGGTCCCCGTTATCTGACCTGCGACCAACGAGTCCCCATCGGCCACCTAGACGACTCTCTTCTGTGCCTAGACGCCCGACCTGAGCATTCAAGTCTCCGGCTAGTACTACAATATCTGTGGAACGCACTTTCTGAAGAAGAACAGTTAACTGGTGGTAGAATTCATCCTTGATTGCATCCGGGCTGCAATCTGTCTGGGCATAGGCGGAGATGACGAAAAGACGTCGTTTCTCACGCCGATTTCTTCTCACTTTGATGGAACTTTCTAATCTAACAGCACATAACCGACTGTTAATGGGGATCCAATCGACTAGTGCTGCCTCAGCTCTAGCGCTTAGTGCGACACCAACGCCAGCAAGACCAGACGAAGATGCCACAGGGTCCCCGGATAAGCGCACGTAAAAAAGCTTTTTGAAGTGACAGATGTAGAGCGAATTTGTAGTACTTCGCCAGAGTCTTGAATACGGGTCTCGGATAGACAACAAACATTAATGTTAAGACTTTCCAAAGACATAGCCAGCCCTATCTGTTGACCGACCAGCATAAGTGTGCGAACGTTGAAGGCAGCCAGTTTGAATGGCGCACGTGGTTTCAGAAAAACTGCTTCAGTACTCATATTCGATGATAACATACAATTTTCAACCGGACAGTGACTCGAGAACGTTTAGATACAGTCGGATTTCCACCAAAGACGAGCCGCTGTATAAGTATAAAAGAGGGTGAATAATGTGGTAAATAATAATAATGACAATAATAGTAATGATAATTATTTAAATCGACTGATTGTTTTTCGGAGCGAGAAAAGTAGTAGACATAGAGTTCATCGTTTGTGTGTGGGCTGTGATACTGCCCGGGTGCCCAAACCGAAGGAGGTGGTTATCTTAGGGGGCCACTCCCCGAGCCTTTGACCTAAAGGTTTAACCCACAAGGCAGTGGAGCATCGTAAGGAGATGCAATCCCATGGTAGCCGGTGACCAACGATTGATTCATACGCCATTTGTTCCCTCAGGATACTGGAGCCCATGTGCACCATTGGTTTGTGATCCGGTTAAAGCGCCGGACATTCGCTTTTCGTCCTCTCATTTTCGTAAACAACGCCTCCACCACGAGAAGGCGGTGAATAGGACTTCCTTGGGAGAGGCTGTATACGTGTGGCCGTGTGAGAGTATTCCGAGAGGGAGAGCGGACTCACCCCACTCTCGGCCGTACCAGGGCATTCGGGGGCAGATATCTGTCTACCAATTAAGGGACGAGTATACTGAACAGCAGTTCGTTCTGTTCTACTTTACGGCTGCGAAACGTGGCCATTAAGAGTGGAAGATACTCGTAAACTACTAGTGTTTAATCACAGATGCCTTAGAAATATTACTGGCGTCTGCTGGGATCACCGGGTAAGTAATAGTGAGGTTAGATACAAGGTATTAGGGATTGATGGTAAATCTGTTGGTGAGGTTGTGAATCTTCATCGACTGAGATGGTTGGGCCACGTGTTACGTATGCCTGAACACTGATTATCACGTCGTGCAATGCTAACCGGTGTTCGGGATGGTTGGAAGAAAGTGAGGGGCGGCCAAACCAAAACGTGGCATCAGTCTTTGAAGTCACTAACTTCTAGTCTTAGCCATGTTGGTAGATGCATACTACTAAAAACGGTTGGAAACTGGGATGACATGGCTCAGAATCGATCACAATGGTGTCGGTTTAACACTCTATGTCTTCCCTCAATCTGTGAGATTAAAATTGCTTTATATCTTTCTTTCTACGAACTAATTCTTTCTTCCTGTATTATATCCTTATATGCAATCTTTCTTTTATATATTACCACCATTGAATTAACTACTTCTATGAATCCGGTGTTTATCTTGTGCTAATGAGGTATGACAACTTGGACTGATGCATATATGTGCCCGGTCCTACGTTGTAGCTGACTGAGGACTTGAAATTCCTCAAGATTCCTTACAAGACGTCTCCTTCCTTTTCCTAAATATTGGTATGATTATCTGGTAACAATAGAAATTCGTAATTGTAGGGTTTAGAAAGCTTTTGTTATAATTCATCATGATTCGCTACCTTGCTATATCTTGCCCCTGTAACAATCTCATTTCGTCTCTATATTTTAACTTTAATGTTTCTGTTAACTAATTTTTTTTCCGAAATACTCTGTAGTATCCGTTCTTTTAACAGAAAGTCGTCCGCTTTTATTCACTTGGATATTTAATGTTCAAAATACTACTAGGTTTTATTGCATTAATTTGTTTCTGTGTTTTGTGTAAAATTTCTGTATGTTAGTGTTACCTAGCTTTGCGTTAAGTTGTTTATAAGCTACACAGAAAAGCGTTCCAATAGAAATAATTCCTAGTCCTTGAACTTATTTTAGCTGATCAACAAATAAAGAAAATTTTATCACTTCGTTTTATGCTTTCTTCTAAATAAAACTTTTTATAAACGCATGCGATTTTTTACGATTAAGAGCTAACACATGGGACACCAAAGTTGTTGCTTACCAGTCTACCATGCAGTGTCAGCCAAACCATTTTGAAGGATATTTTTCCATCAGTTATTCATTTGAATTTGCGTAATACAGCTGGTTCGAAGCACGCGCTTTTAGACTTTTCAAGTAATGACGATTACTTAGATGCTGTGAATCGTTTAAAATCAATTGAATTTGATGGTGTCAAAGTAAGTGTATATTATACATTTAGCATACTTTAAGTAATCTCGACTTTATTGTTTATTTTTTTCTTTTCGGCGAATTTATTTTCAAAGCTGTACAATCGCTTTATTGCCGAAGCAATAGCCATACATTTTGAAAAACCAGAATTATGTGTACAAAAGAGACTGGTACAACCTCTTCTTCTACCATGGTCTTAATGTATTAAATAAAATATTTAAAAATTTTTTATCTTTCTTCATACTCTTGTTCCCTTACAGCCACCTGCTTCACCTTCCATCTTCCCTTCAAGTCTTCTACCCCTAACCGGTTTGTTTTTATTTCCACGATCATTCCGATCACATTTAATCTCTGTTTCAACATTTTATTTTATCATGCTGAGCCATCATTACCCAATGAATACTTCAGCCATTAACTATCAAACGATTATTAAACTTTCCTTGTTTAAAAATTTTTTTACCTTTGTTTATTTAACCTCACTGTCACCATGTATAACAGAAGTTTGTTATCAGTATTATTATCACCCTGTAAAAATAAGTATATATATTTGCGATTGTACAGCCTTGCAAATGAATTCGCCGAAAAGAGAACTCTTCGCTGAACTAATCTTTCTTATTTAATGTCATAATGGGTGTATTCCGTTTATTATTTTCTGTCTACTGGTCACAATTTGTTTTGTGAGGTGTACTTACAAATAACTTTTTGTCACTTGTTATGTCGCTTATTTTCTAAGTTTTGCGCTCTTCGCTGTCGAATAGAATATGATGTCCAGAATAAAATTTTCGAACATGAATTTTAACAGTTGGGTCTCATGTCGAAATCTCACTCTTCATCTCTTTTTAGTTTTGTCCATCTGTTAGTATTTATAGTCGTCGCACAAGTAATATGGTGCTTTTTATCTAGCGTTAAGTTTGTTACTATCATCAAAGCACTTTGTTATAATCTCTTTCTTACGGTATGACCCAGCTATACCTATCGCTTAATATTCTTGGACACCGATTCACTCGACAAGTCCCCAAATCAGAACACGGTTGAACAGGAAAGAGATTATATTCCAAATAACAAGGTTAGATGGAAGCAAGTAAGAAGCACAATAGGGAAAACGTTAGTACATTTATAGTTTTTACATGAGAAGATTCTAGAGTATTCTCCAACTATCGACTAGTGCCGATTGGATAAGAATTAGCCAATCAGCGTGCACCAAAGCAATCGTGCATTGAGCATGCTTTAATCCGGTCTATGTCCTGCTAACACACTTTTTAAACACAGCACTTAAACTAAACATCTTCAGGACACCTTCAAATTGATCAAAGAAATCAAAATCCACAGTTTACAAAACATTTAAGCAATATATAGATCCTCATTTAATTAGTCATCAACAACCTAGGATCGGGAAAAAATGTGACGGTTCAATTCAGCATACTTAAACATAATGAAATTTAGTAAACAAAATGAAAAGGAGATAAAAATCATTATACCAATGACGGGTAAAGGATTCCATATAATTAGTTCCCTTCATAGACATTATTTTTGGTTTACAAAATGGATAATCAAAATCATAACAATAGTAAAGTAAGCGCCAAAAATATAGTTTTAAAAATCAAAGCTTCGGCAAAATGATGAAATATTTTAGCTTTCTAAACAAAGAACGAATACATCTACACTGCCTCGACCGATCTCAAACCATTTCACCTAAGTTCATCAGTCATTGATGATTCTCACTATAAGGATACCGACGTAAATGTTCACCACTAATGACATAACTCGGTCTAACAGTTAGTAATATCGTGGTTTGACTGCCTGTAACGTTTTTACAGATCCTAAAGTGTCAGCGATGTTTAGATTCATGAATTCCAATGCATGAATTTATATTGTAAAACAATCGAGAGACAGTCGTACGTGAGTAAAAATTCCATTTTTCAGATTAGGTAATGTTGTGCTCTTACCCTACCTTAGTACCTACAAATTTTTAACGAAATAAATGTTCATAAATCTCCTTTTACTCTTGCGTTTTGTTTTTATTCTTTGGAAGGAAAGTGTATTATATTTAAAGAATCACCAGAAAGTTTGAAGAATATTTCTGTGTTATACCTAACTTTCAAGCAAAGCTTATCCTTACAAATAATAATAGTCATGATAATATTAATGCAACTTGACAACCAAGTGCAAATTAATTTACTTAGCTTTGAACCACATTTATCTGAGAATTAGTGATACTAGCCAACTGCCCAAACGAAAGTAAATGAAGTGCAATTTGAGTTTGGGACCTAGTGGTTTAACGTTTGGTTTAATCACTAAACTACCACTCTGATCGTATTCACAATCAACTATTAAACTAAATACTACCTCAGTCTTGCATCAAATATATGTCTAAATAGTCGCTGCACACGCTTCAATTTATTCATGTGCCCTTTTAAAAAATATTTGTTATCTAGCCAAATTATCGAGCCATCGTTGGATACACAGAAAATGTAATCCAGTCAAGAAAATTTGTAACTAATAGTCCTAATTGTTTAATCATACGAAACTTGCCATACTCACTAACTGCAACTGAGATTAAAGAACATTTCCCCATGGCCAATCGTGTTCATTTAGGTGTAAATAAGTTTGGAATATTCAATGGGTAGGTACTATTTTTCCTTACCACTTTAATGAAGTATAGTATTTATTAGATATTACTTTATTGAATCATACATAGGATTACAACTATCAATATTATTAGATTGATCCCAAGATGTCTCATGATCGATGAGTATTTGATTTAGGTGGTCAAATATATCTGTATAGTTATTGAATCGAGTTCTGTATTTCAAGTAATCAATTAATTGAGTTATATTATTCATAAAATATGACCGTCGTATTTGCCGGTAAAGATGCAATTAGGACAAGATAACTAAGTATTACTTGTCTCTTTGGTGGGTTCTTGTAGTAATAAATGGTGTTTATTCCTAGAATCGATTACTGTGAACGATAAACGTAGACAACTTTCTCACCTTTATTGTAGCTCTATGTTAAGTAGAGAGAAATAGATTAAACACTCACTAAATGGTTTATTAAACTCATCGAAGAAGAATCAAGCGAACTCTAGTGGACGTGAGTATATATACAATGTCTTCAGTAATAATGCAAAAATAGCATACTACAACATGTACAAGCCAATCAAATCGAACAGAAGGCCTCCAGCTGCTACGACAAACACAATGCCCTTAGACTATTGGGTCGCCATCCAACTGTTTAGATTCTCAGCTATAGTTTGTCGTAATATAGGGGTTTTGGTTGTGAACTGCCCCACTTCTGATGTAGTTGACATTAGAGTTTATGACTTCTCACTAGAGCTATAGGAAACTCGTGAGAACTGATCACTAGTGTAAGTATATGCTTATCACTTTTCAGCACGTTTTTGTGGAGAATTCATAGAATTTAATCTGATGGTATTAGTTTCACTCGCTGTCTGAGTTATTTGTTGCCTACTGCTCAAGTCTCGAACTAAAAGGAACCAGTTTTACAATGCTCTGGTTTCAACAGTCAGTTTTTCGTGTTAGCTCATAATAAAAGCCATCTTGAGTCCAAATATTATAACTGATTATCCTACTTCAAACTTCGATCTATCATATTCATTGTTTCATTAACTTTTTTTAGTTCATGTATATTAGAAATGAAGAATAAGGAAGATCTTCAAATTGTTATAAATGAATGTAAACATAAGTATATTAATAATCGATTGGTTAGAGCAAATCTACAATGTAAATCCAAATCGGAATCGTCCAAATCTCCCGATGCAAGTATGAGTTATGGTTTGAAACTTAAAGAAGTACCCAATGTGATTGAAGATGATCGAATTAAAGCATTATTTCCCGAAACATCTTTAACTGGTTTAAGCTCGGCACCACTTAAAGATTCCAATACTAGGTAGGTGGCCTTTGTCTAAATAACTTGAGAATTCGTTTGAAAATAAAAAAAATACTTTTTTAAAAATCGCGACACTCAGGATCATCGTTGAAGAATCAGTTGAATGGAACTAGTCACTATACATCAACTTCATTAAATATGAGAAAACATTTGACAGGCTAGGTAGGAGAACCTTATGGAAACTTCTTCGACACGACGGTGTACCTTAGAAGATCATCAACATCATACGTAATTCATACAACGAACTACAGTGCAGAGTAGTGCATGGAGGACAGCTGAGAGATGCATTCCAAGTAAGAACCGGAGTCAGATAAGGCTGCTTACTCTCCCCTTTTCTTTATCTTCTAGTGATTGGCTGGATTATGAAGGCCTCCACATCTGAGGGGAAGCACGAAATACAATGAACAGCTTAGAATCAATTAGACGATTTGGACTTGGCCATCCTATCCCATACACACGACAAATGCAGATGAAGAAAACTAGTGTAGCAGCAGCCACTGCATCAGTAGGCCTCAATATGCACAAGGGAAAAGACAAAATTCCCAAACACAACATGAAAAACACCAACCCAATCACACTTGATGAAGCTCTGGAAGATGTGGAAACTTCCACGTACCTGGGTGGCATCATCAATAAACAAGGAGCATCTGATGCGGATATGGAGGCAAGGATTGACAAAGCAAGGGGTACATTCTTACAATTGAAGAACATATGGAACTCAAAACAACTGTCAACCAATACAAAAGTCAGAATCTTCAATACGAACATCAAGTCAGCTCTACCGGACGGAGCTGAAACTTGGAGAACTACCAAAACCATGATCAAAAGGTACAAGTATTTCTAAACAATTGTTTACGTAAGATGCTGAATGTCCGTTAACCGGATACCATCAGCAACAGCCTCCTGTGGGAGAGAACAAACCAACTTCCAACTCAAGAGGAAATTAGCGAAAGACGCTGGAAGTGGAAAGGATGTACATTGCGGAAGTCATCAAACCGCATCATGAAGCAAGCGCCAACTTGAAATCCTGAAGGGAGGCGGAGAAGAGGAAGGCCAAAGAACACACTGTGTCGGGAATCGGAAGCAGACATGACAAGAATGAATGGCAACTGAGAAGGATTGCCCAGGACAGAATTGGATGGTGAATGCTGGTCGGCAGCAGCCTATGTTCTACCACGATGGCTAACAGGCGTAAGATTTGCAATAAGTGCTTCATTCATGTGCGTCTATCACTTGTAAATTTTACTAATTATGAGTAGTGTAGTTCTATATTTCGGCTTGTGTGGGGGATTTTAATGTTGATTTAAGAGCCCAGAGTAGGATAAAGGTGAGTTTTTTACAGTTTATTTGTCTCTATCATATAGTTATGGGGTTAATTCATTATCCGCATTGACTGGGAACCATGCCATGGGACTTCCGAGATAAAAAGGAAAGATCTAAATTGGTTGTAACCCAGTAAAAGATATTTTCAGATGTAATCCTTTGAGCCATGACATCAGTATGCGAATATGTTGTGTGTTGTTTTTTTATTATTTATTTGGCTTTGGAATAAATGTGTCAGTAGTCCTACCAGGATGCTTTATGCTTCTTGTAAGGAGTGAGCTAAAAAGCAAAGCCTAGGTATTAGTAATTTTACGTCGAATTTCATTGTATCAAATTCACAGTATTCATTCAAAAGTACTCATAAGTTGCAATTCTCATGTTTTCGATGTTGCTTGTAAGAGGATCACTAGACTTATTTATCAGTTATTTATCGATAGATTTTGTTTATATATACTGTAAACAGTGTTATTGGTTTGTCGTTTTCAGTTCATGGCCACTGGGGAACTTCGTTACCAGTTGGGTCTATGGTAGTAATTGTTATATTAAGCACAAAAATACGAAGAATTGTTCGGCGAAAACAGACAAGTTGTTTTCAGGTTCCTGATTCATTGATCATTTTATTGTCTTCTTTTTTCGGGTACTTTGACACATCGTTACACATATTGCAATTTAGTTGTCGTGTTACTTTTTATTAGTAGTGCCTTTGATTGGTTACGCGAAACTGTACTGTGGAATTGTTTCTTACGGAAAACATCTTTTTAGAAGTTAACATGTTGAACATTCTGTAAATAAATACTTTAGCTCACTTGATGATATACAACTATCTATTTCCGTTGAAGATCTGTAGTTAGGTTATGTAGGTTCCTCATCAGTGCCTGAATAAATGTCGTATTCGTAAATATGAGGTTGAAGTGTTGGTCATAATTTACAATTATTTAGTATCGTTATTCTTAATCCCCATAAACTTATGTTTAGATACAGTGTGAGAAAAGTAATAAGAAATTTTAGTGAAAACTTGGTTTTACTACATATCTGCTAGTCTTTACTCAACATATACATTTTTCTTTACATAGAAATGTGTTCATCTTCTTCAAAAAGAGTGCTCAGCGTAAAGCGGCTTTTAAGATGTTCAAGAATGAAGTTATCATGGGTTATCCAATTTCCTGTCGATTATGGGGTACGAATGTAATTTAACTTGCTTTTTATTACAAAATTCTACTAAATAAATTATATTTACAGCTACACGAAAGCGGTTATTACTTTGGTACAATGCCAGAAAATATATCACGTGGCATTACCATTTACGCCCATATAATTAAACTCCCTCCACTCATGGGGATGAGGAATTACGCAAACATGTTTATACGCGCTGATTCCTCGGCGAGTGAGTGGCCTGCCAGTGGTAGATAGGGAGTGGAGTATTGTGATGTTGAGTCTTCTGGTTTGTGTTGGTTATTGGTGAAATGTCTTCTAGTGAGTGTGATCTTTGTATATGGATATGACGGTTTCCAAATTTTGATGCTATTGGCCTCATAATCAAAAAGCAAGCCGTCAGTATCCATCTTTTGTACTATCGCAATATAGTCTCGTCTCCAATTGCCATAACAGTGAGGGAAATGGCAAATACACAAATGTTTTAGTGACAAACTGTTAACATTTAATTCGTCAATTAGTGTGAACTTATATCGCTCGTCATGTATACACGTTACAATCATACTTAACATTACCTACTTACTTACGCCTGTTACCCCCAATGGAGCATAGGCCGCTGACCAGCATTCTCCAACCCACTCTGTCCTGGGCCTTCTTTTCTAGTTCCATCCAATTCTTGTTCATTTTTCTCATGTCTATTTCCATTTCTCGGCGTAATGTGTTCTTTGGTCTTCCTCTTTTCCTTTGGCCTTCAGGATTCCATGTGAGGGCTTGTCTTGTGACGCAGTTGGGTGCTTTCCTCAATGTGTGTCCTATCCACTTCCAGCGCTTCTTCCTGATTTCTTCCTCCGCTGGGATCTGGTTTGTTCTCTCCCACAGTACGTTGTTGCTAATAGTGTCCGGCCAATGGATCTGAAGTATTTTGCGTAGACAACTGTTAATAAACACCTGTATTTTCTGGATGATGGCTTTCGTAGTTCTCCAGGTTTCTGCCCCATACAGTAGAACTGTCTTGACATTTGTATTGAAAATCCTGACCTTGGTGTTGGTTGACAGTTGCTTTGAGTTCCAGATGTTCCTCAGTTGTAAATATGCTGCTCTTGCTTTGCCGATCCGCGCCTTCACATCTGCATCAGATCCACCCTGTTCATCAATGATGCTGCCCAAATATGTAAAGGTTTTTACATCTTCCAAATCTTCTCCGTCAATTGTGATTGGATTGGTGCATTCTGTGTTGTATCGGAGAATCCTGCTTTTCCCTTTGTGTATATTGAGACCTACTGCTGCTGAGGCTGCTGCCACACTGTTCGTCTTCTCCTGCATCTGTTGTTGCGTTTGGGATAGAAGGGCCAGATCGTCTGCGAAGTCTAGATCATCCAACTGCATCCTAGATGTCCATTGTATCCCGTGCTTCCCTTCAGACGTTGACGTCTTCATGATCCAGTCGATCACCAGGAGAAAGAGAAAGGGTGAGAGTAAGCAACCTTGCCTAACACCGGTCTTCACTTCGAACGACTTTGTCAACTGTCCTCCATGCACGATTTTGCAGTGTAATCCATCATATGAATTCTGTATGATATTGACTATCTTCTGAGGCACGCCGTAGTGTCGAAGAAGTTTCCATAGTGTTGTTCTGTCCACGCTATCAAATGCCTTTTCGTAGTCAATGAAGTTGATGTAGAGTGATGAATTCCATTCAATTGATTGTTCCACAATGATCCGTAGAGTTGCGATTTGGTCTGTACACGATCTATCCTTACGGAATCCTGCCTGTTGGTCACGAAGTTGGGCGTCTACGCAGTCCTTCATCCTGTTTAACAATACCCTGTTGAAGACTTTTCCCGGTATTGAGAGAAGAGTGATGCCCCTGTAGTTATCACAGTTGCTGAGATCGCCTTTCTTCGGTATTTTGATCAGAAGTCCTTCTTTCCAGTCTGTTGGTACTTGTTCCTCATCCCAAATCTTATTGAAGAGAATGTGGAGTATCCTTGCAGTTGCCGCTACGTCTGCTTTTAGTGCCTCTGCTGGAATGTTGTCCGGTCCTGCTGCTTTGCCACTCTTGATTTGTCTGATGGCCATGCTGATTTCTTCAATTGTTGGTGGGCCAACATTGATTGGGAGGTCCGTGGGTGCTGCTTCGATGTTGGGTGGGTTCAGTGGAGCTGGTCGATTCAAGAGTTCTTTGAAGTGTTCTACCCACCTGTTTTGTTGCTCTTCAATGTTGGTGATTACCTCGCCTTCCTTGCTTTTCACTGGTCGTTCTGGTTTGCGGCGATTTCCAGAGAGTTTCTTTGTCGTGTCATACAGTTGTCTCATGTTTCCTTCTCTTGCAGCCTTTTCCGCCGTCGTTGCTAAATCTTCCACATATTTACGTTTGTCGGTTCTGATGCTCCTCTTCACTTGTTTGTTTACTTCTGTGTATTCAGCTTGTGCCTTGGCTTTTTCTGCTCTTGTTCGACTGGTATTGATTGCTGCCTTCTTGTTCCTCCTTGATGAATCTTATCCAGTGTATCAACAGTGATCCATTCCTTGTGATGGTGCTTCTTGTGACCCAGGACCTCATGACATGTTGAAGTGATTGCCTCTTTGATCCCCTTCCAGTTGCTCTCCACAGTAGTTCCTTCTCCATTGAGTAGATCATGAAAGGCCTGGAACTTGTTGCTGAGGACTATCTTGAATTTGTTGAGTTTGTTAGTATCCTGAAGAAAGGCCGTATTGAACTTTTGTGATATTGTCCGCCCCGTTGTCCAGTGCTTCTTGAGTTTCAATTTCATCTTGGCGACCAGCAAGTGATGATCTGATGCTATATCAGCTCCTCTCTTGGTTCTCACGTCCTCTATAGTCCTCCTGAACGTTTTGTTGATGCAAATATGGTCGATTTGGTTTTGCGTTGTGTGATCCGGTGAAGTCCATGTGGTTTTGTGTATGCGTTTATGTGGGAATATGGTGCCGCCTATGACCAGCTTATTGAAGGCACATAGATTTGCAAATCTCTCACCATTTTCGTTCTTTCTCCCAGTCCGTGTCGTCCCATGATGTCTTCATATCCAGTGTTGTCCGTTCCAACCTTGGCGTTGAAATCTCCCATCAGAATGGTCAGGTCCTTTGTTGGGCACTTCTCGACGATTGACTGCAGCCTATTGTAGAATTGATCTTTAGCGTCTTCATTGTAGTCGTTGGTAGGCGCATAGCATTGGATGATGTTCATTGAAATGCCCTCTTTCTTTGTTTTGAACGAGGCTTTGATGATCCTTGGTCCATGAGATTCCCATCCTATAAGTGCATTTTGCGCTTGTTTGGACAGCATCAATGCAACTCCTTGTGTATGTGGTGCATTTTCTTCTTCATGGCCGGAGTATAACAGGAGCTCTCCTGTAGTTAGTCGTTGTTGTCCAACTTGTGTCCAATGTGTTTCACTGATCCCAAGTACCTCTAGGTTGTATCTTCTCATTTCTGCAGCAATTTGGAAGGCTCTCCGGTGTCCCACATTGTACGAACATTCCATGTACCTAAATAAATGGTCGCTCTGGTTGTCAGAAGGGGCATCGGCCTCGTAACTTCCGAAGGAATTCGGCTTTCATCATGAGGCGTCATAATTCTTCTAAATGAAGACCTTCTGACTCCCAGGGCAGAGTTTAAAAGGTTTGAATAATTTTTTCTGGTTAGCGTTTTTTTAGCGAGTTAGTTTTCTACGGGATGGGGACGCTAACCCCATGCCCAACCCTCCTTTATCCGGGCTTGGGACCGGCAGTAGCCCCCGGAGGGACTCCAGGTGGAGTTGTACTTAACATATGATGAACAAATTCATTCAGGATGGAGAGAAACAGCAAAAAAGTTTTTGATCGAAGTAATTACACTTTCCCTAAATACATCACAAAGCCTTTTCTCAATTTAGAATGCGTACACCCCTTAGATTTTAAGGAAACAATTGGCTTGTTGGATATGCTACTTGCCGAGGATTACATTGATACGTATGATTTTCTCAGCTATTTGAAAAACATGTCCAAAAAATTATATCTCATTAACGCCTTTATGATAGAAGAGTTGACAACAGCAGGCAAAACCCTAATGCTGAAAATTATTACTAGCAATTACATTTCTGGCACCGTTCAAAAAAACGTATGGCCATAGTTGATTCTTTTTATAGAGTCTGATGAAGAAGTCACTTGTGCGGGTGCCGCAAATTTTAATCTGAATATTCTATTCTTGCTGGTTAAGTGATGTTCTTTAGGAAATGTAATTGATTGTGAAAGAGCTGTTAATGTCCCGACGTTTACGTTTTTTAAATAGAATTGTACTTCGTATATGGATTTTCTATTCGTTCTTTCTAAATAATTTTTATATCTTTATTTTTCTTAGTATCATTGATTTTAGCGTTGTGTTATTTTCATTTAGCAACTTTGTGTCTTTACGTTGTCTCAAAATGTGAAACCTGAATCAATCCGATTGCATATATGATCTCGAAAGAGCGTTGTGTTGACTTGATTTAGTCTTTTTAGCAAATTAAATTAACAACTCAACTAAGTCGAATGATGATGATGATATCCAGGATGACCGTTATACATGATCGCGCAACAATTGTCTGTTTTTCTGCTTGATAGTTGTTTAATAGCTCAAACTGAAACAAATTTGTGTTTTTTGGCACAGCTGAATTATAATTTGGAAATAACATAACCATAACAATGTCAAATATATATTTACTTGGTCTCAGAGTGAACATCAACTCTGAGATGCAGGTACATCCAGTTGAGGAGTCCCAAATAGGACGAAGACGCGCGTCCTGGATTCCACTGCTAGTCACTATCCATCTTTGCTTATAACGCTTGTGAATTAAGGCAGTTGCAAGGCAATACACACAGTATGCACATGTGCCAATAAGAGACTGATCAACTGCAGTCCTTAACATCAATGGGAAGATTCAAGTAAACAATACCAAGTGAGTTTAAACTTCACCCTATTGCACAAGCAAGTGGCTATCAGGACTCAGTAGCTAAGTGGATAGCGCGATGGCTTTTGAAGCGAATGGTACTGGGTTCGAGCCCCAGCGTGAACATTAACTCTGAAATGCGGTCGAGTTTTCTATTTATTAAGCTGCTACTTTGCTGTTGGATGTTGTTACACATATTGAATATTTACTGACCAGTTAGTCATTTTATTTATTTTCACCTTCGACCTTATTTAGCAACATTTCACTGCCTAGCATGTGCATTAATTTAAAATATATTGTTATCACAGCTTAATTAAATTTTTCAAATTTCTACCCTTAGTTCCTACTAATCGAAGGCATAAATCACAAACAAAGAATATAGAGGAGAAAGTGAACGATACAGTTCTAAATTATAACTTACCCAAGTCAAGTAAGTAATGGGTTTTAATTCCTTCATTTACCGCCTTTATAAATAAGTTTGACTCTGATGATACCAAGAGCATGGTAATGCAATAAATTGTCAGAACTTCACTATAATGGATTAATTTTAATTGAAATGTGAGAAACAAATCAGAATATTCCACAGCTTTCCATGATTTCAACATTGTTTTTTTTTTCATTTAATTCACTTCAAACCTGGTACAACTGGACACCAAAAGTACGATATGCTACACAGAATATAGAAATAGCATTCCGAAGAAAGAGGTGAGAAAAGGAAGTATATCTCAAGAAAAGGAAATAAATGAGAAGGCCACGGTGTATAATTAGAAATAAGGTTCAGTTAACAGTGCAACAGAGAAAGATTTCTCTCAGTTAGAAGTTCCATCCATTATTATGAAGAATAACAAAGGAAGCTGCAGTACGATATATATATATATATATATATATATATATATATATATATCAAGAAGCATTAAGATTTTCGGCCTACTACAGGTGTAGATGTGATTTAATATTTGGTAGTAGGCGAGGACGTGATCAGTATGTCTACTTGCATGCTCCTCGTACCAATTTTTCACAAGTTTTGGACAGTCTGCAATGAATGACAGAAGCCAATAGTTTGGACCCTGTGGAAGTAGATTCGCTCCTCGATAATTGTAGGGTAGATGAATATGAGATAGTTCCTTGTTCGATAAATTTCCGAATAAATTCTTAAATATAGAATAGAAGAAAAAGCTATGGAAACTTTCATATATTTTTTGCTGCATCTTCAATAAACCTTATTAATTTCACTCGAATTTATTCGAACTCAATTATTATTTATTTATTTATTTGAATACATAGATATTGGTACAAGGGAACACCAGATACATATGTGCCACAAAAATCTCATTTGATTTGTGTGAGGGCTGTGGTACTGCCCGGGTGCCCAAACCGAAGCAGGTGGTTTTCTTGGGAGACCACACCCGAAGCCTTTGACATATAACTCTGATGCACAAGGCAGTGGAACATCGTAAGGAGATGCAGTCCCATGGTAGTCGGTGATGACCAATAGTTGGTCCATACGCCATTTGTTCCCTCAAGATACTGGAGCCCATTTGCACCATTGGTTTGTAATCAGGGTTTTCCAACTCCCCTAGGTGGATCCTCTATATCCACCAACCCGGTTAAAGCGCCGGACATTCGCTTTTCGTCCTCTCAATTTCGTAAACAACACCCGTGGTGCGATAAGGCAGTGAGTAGGACTTCTGTGGCAGAGGCTATATACGCGTGGCCATATGAGGGCATTCGGAGAGGGAGAACGAACTCTTCCCACTCGGCTGTACCTGAGCATTTGTCTTGATGTACAAAAGTGGGAGATCAATGATTAATTTGTGGTTTTCCTTTTAATCCTCTAGTAATAATGTGTTATGCGGAAAGTCATATACTGTTTATAGTGTTTTGTACGTCCATCGAACCAAGAAACACGTTTGCTGACCTCCAATGAGTGTTGCTGTGTTCTATAAATAGGAAGGTAGTTAGAATAAAACCACTAGAACTTTCAATTTTGATGCCTACTTTTAGGAAAATTTGCCGAATATGTAGTCAAAAACAATCACTAGCCTTATTAAGAGCTCTTCATACTTAATCCACATTAAATTGAATTATATTACTACACAGGCCATCTGCAAGGAGTAATAACTACCAGTCATAACGCAAATCATAGATCCCAAACAAAAATTCGAGGATTAAGGGAGGCGGAAAATTGGCAGCCAAATAGCAAACAGGCTTATTACTAATAATATGTGCAAATGGTCGATAACATTGATTTAGATATTCGTAGTGCATGTTTAACGCATTTTATGATAATAATTGACTCAAGGTTAAATATCCTAAAAATACTTGATATTAATAGGTAAACGCCTACAAAACATAGTGCTGATTCAGTATTTCCTTCCATTTGCCCTGATACCATACTAACCGTAATCAAGCAGAGGATGTGGTAGGTTCGAAGGATTAAGATATCAGCTAGGACCGGCAAACGGGACGAAATTCAGCAACGCGACAATAGAACAAGCTAAGCTTTTCCATTGCGACCTATCTCTGTTGGCTAGAAGAGAACCAGATTCATCCGGGAAAATATATAACTCCACAAGCAGCCCGGAAGAATAAACGTCAAGCGCACAACTCACACGTATATATACAACACAAAAATGTCCTTGAAAACGTCACAAGATAGCATACTAAACGGGGAACCCAACGAATGACGTTTAAGGTTCTTCCAGGTGGTAAACACAAACCGAACGTGAAAATGTACGTTTTTGGCGCGAGAACGAGAAATTCAAGTTCCCATAATGAAATTACAAAAATAATAAGTTCATCAATTCATTTCTGGAGATCTAACATCTCCATAGTATGTAACAATCTAGCAAAAACAACTTTTGTCCATTTATAAATTAAAATTGCACAGGCAGAATAATTCAGGCTCATTAACTCAGCAACAATACCAATTGTCCAATAAGGTTATTTCGACTGTGTATCGGCCTGATTCGAAATCAAAACCTCGTGGACCAGTAACTTAATCATATCGCTTATTTGGAGTGTAAATAAGTCCTTTGTGGACCCCCGGTGTGTATGTAAACACTCATTTTTAACAACTACGAATTTGTAGTAAGATTTTTTAAATTTAATATAACTACAGATGAACTCGGTCAGAATGAAATAAAATGGAATATGGGAAAATGTAGGAATATGTCTTCATCCTTTCCCAAGAAGTTAGTATTTGAATCTGGTAAGTTAATATTTCTTGTCATTGGTTTTTAAAAATTATTCACAAATGTATAATCTCTAAGTATTGTAAATCACTGTCAAGTTAAAACTATTAAAAACATTTTTTCGGATGTTTTATGCAAACCCGTTTTTTATCTGAACACTGAAATTTATTTGTATTGATGGTAACAGTAATTTCTGTCTATTTTAATGTAATGAGATCCGCAGTATCTTGTTCAATTGTGGTCATTTAATTAATAGGATCCTTTTTATTGATAATTCTTTTTTGGTAAGGAATGTATATCAATGCTCTGCTCTTTGAAGTACCATATTCCCTTTCCAATTAATGCTTTATAAAGCTTTGGACACGAATTGATATTGTTTGCAACCACAACCCGAGATGAAATCGGACCCAAGACTTCTGCACATGGTGACCGGTGCGATACCTTCAAACTAATTAAATAAAAATCTAGTATATCTCACTTTCCGTTTTTATTAAATGGTCATTTGGTGTGATAGTCATTCACCGGTTAGTAACTGTTCTGCTCGTGAAATAATTGTCACCTCGTTAAAAACTATGGGATTTGATCCGTGCATACTGTTTAAGTATTGGATTTGTGTAAGTTTGTGCACTACGAATAACCTCTACAAAGTGTTACTTTTGTTGAGTGTTATTTCGTTCTTCATAATTCTATGGTTGATATCCGCTTATGATGACAAATGTCTTAATATTATTGTTTTTAATTTCAGATGGTGAATAAACAGTAGAGACAGGATTTTTTCCAACACCTGTTTTACGGACGATTATAGTAGCGATACACTGAGGAAATTATACTAGTTAGAGTAAAGAACAACCTGATTATTTGTACAAAGTCACTTTGATTTAACAAAGATAATTTTGAAAACCTTACGTATTTACTTTGACTTACCAAAGTATTTTCATCATCCTCATTAATGTTAGCTAACAGAAGTTCCGTCATCCTAGAATACTTTTTTCCTTATCTACATCTTAGTTTCGTGTGTTGCACAATTGTACTAAGTATATTTAACCCTCACTTGGCTCACTGACGAGTATCTGTCATTTGTGAATGCACGTATTGGTCAGAATGCATGGCCACCAAACGATTTACAAGATGCAATGCTTATGGAGAAGCTAAAATGCAAGGTTTCAATCTGCATTCTAGTGAGAGCTGATAACTCAGTGTGTTATTGCTAGTACTTTTATAGGGGGTTCATTTGTGGAAAATGTGTAACCTTTTACTGATACGTTTAGGTGCTGATTTCGTAATAACCAGAAATCTCATTTCAAACACCGGACAAAGAAACCTTACTCCGTTTCATGGTTTGTCCGTGTAAGAAAATCAATACATTTGTAGATTTATATGACTACCAGCTCCTGGGAACTATTCGTTCTGTTGATTTCAGATCTTTTGAAGGGTCCTGAAGAACGGTGATCAGTCCTACGGTTTTCGTGGTTTCTAAATACTTCAGGGGTATAATCGGTGATTTATGGTACCTTCCATATTTAGTGTTTCCGAGGAGATTTAACAACATTTTGGTTACTATGCATGAAACACGAACGGTCGATCACTAGTCAACAATGAAAGTACTGCAGGGTTCCCACTTATTATAGAGAGCTTGACACTTGAGTTATCATAGAATACTTGTCTTTTTTCAAGTCCTTTCCATCACTACGGCTTTTGTAAACGGAATTTGCTTTGCTTATAAATTGTTCGTCCACTGACCAATCCCTGCATCCAGATGTCCCCCTGTCTACTTGCGTATCTGTACGCGTTGATGATGAGAATTAAACAAATATGATTACTCCCCAAGGGTTTTTAACAAGTTCCCAATGCGTCTTCATGACTTATCCTCTGGATTTCTTGGAATCCAGTATTCACTGTAGCTCTTGTGTTGTGTGGTACAAAGTCCTCGCAAGAGTATTTTGGTTCTTCTGGTATCACTGAGTTTATCTATATCAACATGGAGTAAGTCATACCTTCTGAACAGTAAGTTCGATGTAATACCAGACGACGAAGAATGGAGTACCTGTGATCTAACTATCTACCTAGAAATTTGAGGTGGTACTTACGGTCATTCTTGTTTCACAAATGTTTTCGGTATTTATAAACTGGCATGGGAAGTAAGCTAACTAATTCCAACCAAATATTAACGGGATATTTAGGGATCCTGTTTGAAGAGCCGCGAAACTGAAAGCATTGAAGATAAAAGTAAACAACAAAAATGTTTCAGTCACGATGTTCTGTACTTTTTGATAATGCTTAGTTCATCGGATGAAAAGACACCGAGCCTCAGTCGAATCGACCTGTTATGTTGAATGACCACAACATTGGGGAACTGCTCACTTGACGTTGAGTTATGTTTCACCATCGGTTGAGGTCGAAATTAGACAATTTATCAATACACGACTGCCTGTCTATGACTCATAATTATAGCATTTCTGTGGCCTATCTTTATAAATACACTTCCGTTCTTGTGGGATTTCAGTACGATATTACAGTCACCAGGTTAATGTGAGAATTACTTAGTGAAGTCCTAGAGCAGGTGTCAACAATAAACCTTACCGAAATGACCCGCTAAACTGGTGGTATCGCTATTTTGGGAGGTCGAAAGCTAGGTGTAAGATAATATGTCTACACTTGTCAGTCCCAGTATTGATGAGTTGATGTAGTTCTACGGTGGAGTCGAGACATTCAATATTATGTTCTTACTTTGTTTGCTGGCATTTGTTATTCTTCGCATGCATATCTGATGAGACTTCAGACGTTTTTTGAGGACATTGAAGAAACTGGACTTCCTGGCCATCATGTTCGGGTGGATTAGAATGTTGCCAGGAATTACATTTGAAGTTATTGACTTAACGTTTTAAAAAGGCACAACGTAGAAAAATCTCATTATACACCATAGTATACATTTCCGCACCTTTTTTCTGATTAAAAGCGCGAAAAAAAATATAGTGTTTCGTACCGATTTGTATATGTGTTTCGTGTATGTTCATGTGAACATTTATTAGTTTTTCTATCCGCATACATTTTCGACATAGATGTTACTATTGGCGTGCTAACCTACATTGTACATTAAAGCTCTGGACTATGCAAACCCACTAATCACTTCTTACAGTAGTTATTCTTTCATCAATACATTTCTGAGATTTAGAAGCAAGATGATGTTGCCAGAGTAATAAACTTTACTTAAGTTTTTGAACTTTCCATCGTGTAACTACCTAATCTACAAGAGCTTACGTCATAGCTTCACTATTGTCTATGCTGACTCCCTCCTTTATTATACTGTGTCCTCGCTTACTGATGGAATAGGATGATATGTACAACTACGATGAGTTAAGGAGTGGTCGTGAGGCCGTCGAAATGTCACTGTGGCTTGATCAAATCGACCAGTTCTCTGATCACTGCATGTCTAACAGTTTCGTGAACACCGTCAAGTTCAAGGGAAGACAGCACCAACCACTAAGTTTCCACATCATGAACAGTCAAATTCGCAGTGTTCCCACTCTGTTTATTATTATTTTTGCGTTATACGTTCATCCAAGTATCCACAACACCCCAATACAAAAAAATGTATTTGAAGTTAAGCAATAATCCCGAGGTTTGTATGGTATTCTAATTGTCGTATGAAGTAGGAATTCCAGGATTAACGCAATTGAAATAAGAAGACACAGGCACAAACGAATGTATTGTATTTAGAATTCAAAATCGAGCACTCAACCAGTACCAAGATATCATTAGTCCATTCAAACACCACAGTTTGACATCAATATAAGCTGAGAGGTAATGACATTCCTGTCCAACGCAAGCAGTGTCTCAAACAAAGATACAGTTCACGTCGGACTCATCAGTGTTGATTACCAAAGCAAGTGATTTATATCGCTGATTGCGGTGATATTTGCGTTGAACAGGAATGGCATTACCTCTCAGCTTACCATGATGACGAATGGAAAATGTTCGACGTACTGTGATCACTACCTCATGACTAAGCCGGCACGACCGAGACACGAACCTGTTTCCAGGATGACTCTCATCGAAGTTCAACTATTTGTCAAGTACTCAACGGCCCATTTAAATCTATGAAGTTATGGTCTGCTGAATTTGAAGTATGGTTTGTAGAATTATGGTTCAGTTCGTTTTTAGTACTACTACAAAAATAGACCTAATCCCAACATTGTAGATATGTCATGGTGTGATTACCTAATCTATAAGATCTTACGTGGAAGTCACATAATTGCCTACACTGACTCCTCGTATCGCAACAATCAGCAATATGATGTTTGGTGTTTATAAAGAACATATTTAGGTTGGAGATAAAACAATATATTTAGCATGAATAGAAAAGATACGTTACAAAAGAATGATCACGCCTGCAAGACTCAACCGTACCATCCGATTTAATCTCGAATGAGTGTTCCCGCGTTCACCATTATTGACCTTTTCTTAGAGTTATATGTTGAGAGCTTAATTAACCAGTTATCTCATGTTAAGGTATGAGGATTGTTTGGTTAGGGCCAAGACAATTACAAGTTCACTATGTTGCATGGTCATTACGCACTCCTATACGATTGATCGTCACCTCACTCCACAAACGTTATGACTGATTCCTAAAGCAATCCACTTATCAAAACACTTGATCAACGCACAACCAGCACGTTACACAATTCGTAATTCCTTTAAAATCATGAACTTTGAGAATGGGATCTACTAACTCAGACTGAAATATGTTTTCTGAAACAGTTTGTATAACACCTTCAGTGTTTAGTCATCATACAAACCCAAAAAATCCTTTACATTACTCCACGAAAATGTGAGATTAGTATTGATCAAAAACAGCAAAAGTTCGATTCTTTTACAAAAGTACTGAGGCAGGCGTGTATTTTTGAGTGGGTAGATCCTGACACGGTTCCATTTTCATAACTTTGAACTGGGATACAAAAAATGACACACCTCAGGTATTTCTTTACCCGAGGAGTTCGATGTCTCCCCTGACTTGCCGGAATATGGCTAAAGATGGAAATATGTAAAATAACTGTCTGGTTAAAATGCATCAAAGGTGAAACCTAACATTTAATGTTTTTCATTGTAATTTAGTTCTTAAAAATCGTGATGATCAGGGGTAGTCGAATTCGGTATGCTAACTAGTAATTTACACTGTGGGGATAGGCCTGACAACCTTATTTTGTAAATAGTTTTCAATGTTATTTGTACTTATTTTGTCAACCTTACACTGTATGTATATTTAACATTAAATGACTGTAACTTGTTTTAGTAAATGAGCTTGAACACACTTTCCGTTGTGATTCTAACATAGCGTGACATATTCTTGCTGGCTAACAAATACATTACTACTCACACATCCCTCGTTCTATTTTCGTTTGTGATTGAGTTAGCTGAAGCCTAAATCAAATATTATCATTATTTATAGACTGTAATTGGAATATATCAGATTCTACGTGGGATTATATCACTAAAGTGTTCGCCAACCTGCTCAGAATCATCAAGCATTTATAACTGTGGATTTACATTAGAACACGCAACGTTTGGTCAATTTAAGTAATGTCCCAAATTTTTATTGTATTTGTAACAATTAACTGTATATAATAATATTACTATTGATCTTTAGTAACTTTGTTTATACTTTTCGCGTTCATATCTGTCTGGTCCACCACAATTATTTGGTGAGCCTCGATTTTTTTATAGACATCTTCTATATATACATCTACATATTTTTTTATTATTATTTGGCACGACAACCATTTTTGTTTTTGACATTATGAACTCTCCTAATAAACTTATTGATATAGATAGCCCATCAACCAACCCCTTTCATTCATCACAGCCAGAAGATAATGTTTTAAACTCAATCAACGCTATTTCTGAACTAAGATTACCAACATACGGTGTCAACAACCCTAGAATTTGGTTTGCTCAAGTTGAGGCACTATTTTTGGCGAGGGGTATACGTTCGCAAGCGACTAAATATGCCCACGTCGTCGGTGCACTACCTATAGAAGTAGCAACGGAAGTTGGTGACCTGATTGACAACGTACCAGAAACTGACCCTTATGACAAGATAAAAGCTGCAGTAATCCAACGCACATCGCTGTCAGACGAAAGACGTTTACAACAGCTGCTTACCTCGTGCGAACTAGGGGATAAGAGACCTTCACAGTTGCTCCGACACATGCGACAGCTAGCCGGCCCATACAAATTAGACGAGACGCTACTTAAGCAAATGTGGTTACAAAGGTTACCACATAGTGTTAGACA